CACTGGCCAAGGCACATGTCCTCTTTGAGCATTGGTGTTCTCATCTTTAAAATGGGAACAATAAGGGGCTAGAGAAATACTACAGGGGGCAGGGCATTTGCCTTGCACGTGGCCGACCTGGGTTTGATCCGAACCACTCCATCATATGGTCCCCCAAGCCCCGCCCTGAGCACAGCCAGGTGTGTCTCACATCAAAAGAAAAAATCCTTCCTAAAATGGGAATAAAGTGGTGGTGGGGGGGGAGCTCTTCACCAGGCCTGCCAAGGCTGGGGACCGGCGCATACCAGTATCCAAGGGGAAGATTTGCTAAGGAAGCTTGGAGCTGGGGTTCCAGGAAAAGGCTCTAGAGAACCCCTGTTCCACAGGCGTTCTGGGGTGACAACTAGCCCAACCAGGAGAGCTTGCCCTTGGCCAGACCCCACGAAGGGGCAAGGCAGGTCAGCACACTTCCGTGCCCTCTGCCCCTGGGTTCTCTCTCTTGCCCGGGGCAGCCTCTTTAAGGGAAAACTGGTCAAACCAACACAGCCTCCACAGGACCAACTCCGCAGACACCGCGTGCCAGCCTGAGGCACAGACACGGCCTGGAAGGGAGGGAAGGGTGTACGCTCGGGTTAGGGGGCAGTGTTGGGCAGAGCCACGGGGCTCTATAGCACTTTCCCTTCTGCTCACCAGGGAGAAAGGAGCTGGCCAGGCAGGACGAACAGCTGAGGAACGAGCACCAGGCCTGCAGGCTGCCAGCCTCCGCCCCAACCCGAGGCCACTCACTCACAGAGACGACCAAGCTGATCCCACTCTCCTCCCTGGGCACCCTCTCTCACTGCCAGGCCCGTCTGGGAACTGAACGGCCTGGAGGAATCTCCCTGCAGTTCCACATGGCCCAGCGGAGGCCAGACCCAGCATGGGGAAAGCAGAGTCCTCAGCCAAGCCCTCCTTCAGCACAGCCAGATGGCAGTGGCTCACCGACACCCCAGTTCAGCAGCAACTACACCACCTCATCTAACTCTCAGGCTCAGGGAGGGAACAACTAGCTCCCCAAGACCATTCAGCAAGAGCTGGCGGCCAGGAAAGGAACAAAGGAACCCTCACGTGCTGGACTCAGAATCCCCCGAACTGTAATGTCAACATGGGTCCTACCGTGGTGGAGGAAGGAAGCAGGGAAGACTTCCTGCAGGAGGCCTCTGTATCTAATCTAACAAAAGGAGGCTCCAGGTGGAGGAGCAGAGAGGCATGCAGGCAGGCAGAGCATGGGTGAGAAGCAGTGGGAGCTGGAGACAGGTACTGCAAACTGCTGGCCCGGGCTCATGGAAGGGTCAGGAAGGGAAGGGAGTGAGTTGCAGAGTGAGCCCGGGGACTCGGTGGGCAGCCGCCTGGTCAGACCCAGCAACCAAGCTTCCGAGAGGGCAGTCTGTTCATACCACTCCATCCACAGGAGATGAAGCTGGGCTGGGGTCAGGGTGTGAGTATGGTCAAGGACAGGTGGCACGGTGGCATCACAGATGGGCAGCAGTGCCAGTACGCAGCTGGGGTCAAGCTTGAAGTCCACGGTTCCCCAGAGGCTTCCCTGCCACAGGCCTCTGGCTCCTGCAGCCTTGCCCGCGAGTGGCCTAAGGAGGGAGACCTCGGGGCCACGTCCTCTCTATTAAACCGGCTGAGGTGAGGGTCTGGGGCTGCAGAGCGGCTGAGGGAGCTATAGGGGCGAGGCACCGAGCATCTCACCAGCACCCTTCTACTACTACTACCTGCACTGACCCCAGTCAAGTCACTGAAACACCACCCAACTTCCGGCTGGCCCACCGCCCACTCTGAGCCTCTGTGAGCCGGAGCTGAGCCTCTGTGACTCGGGGCTGAAGCAGGGACTTCGTCAGCCAAGCCCCCTGCTCGGGTTCTCGGGACATGCCGTGCCGCCCACACCACCTCAGCGCAAGCCTAGCTCCAGCCAAGTGCTCGCCGAGGGCCATTGTCATTGCTGGGAGCAGAGGGCTGGCCTGAGATCAGAACCTGAGTCTGCCTCAGACACCAAGGAGCGACAGGATAACAAGGCCCTGCCTACGTGACCCAGGTCCACAGCCAGGATCCCAGCCCACTTCCTGTGGCCGGACCCCCAGGGCTGTCTGGGCTGGCCTCCATCCTCCAGACCCTTCCTCCACTTTGAAGGCCTCGCGCTGGAACTAAAACCCAGGGGCCTCTCCCTTCCCTGTCCCGCCAGCTCCGTCTCCCAGACCAGGAACCACCCACTGTGGCTGGGCACAGAGCTCAGAAGGCCTGGCTTTGAGCTCAGGTCCCAGCTCAGAAGAGAGGCAATTTGGGGGGAGTCCTTGAACCTCTTGGAACCCCAGTTTCTTCTTTCTATAGTGTAGGGAGCCGATCACCTACTTTGAAATAAATGGCATTGATATCTTTACTATCTTTTAAGACCTGGCCCAGTTGTCTCCTCTTCCTGGAAGCCTTCCTGGCTCACTCAGAATAAAAGCTGCCTCCCTGAGCCTCTCAATTGTTTATTTCTTAGCAGGAGTCCGGGGTGGGGGTGGAGGGGTGTTGGGTCACACCCAGTTGTGTTCCGGCTTACTCCTGGTACTTCTAGCAGTACTCAGGGAACCATAATGCAGTGCGAGGGACTACACCGGGGTTAGCTGCACACTCTGTGCTATCTCTCCAACCCTCCATCAACCTCTCAGCATTCACAGAGCCCGGCTGGCCCTTTGGGGGGACAGAACAGTGGTGAGGCCGCTCAGACCCCTGGGGACGGAAGCGCTGGAAGTGCCTGCGGGTGTGGCAAAGGGTGGAGTCAAGCCACTGAGGGCCAGGCCTCAGCAGGGGAGACAGAGAGAGAGAAATTCAGTTTGGGCGGGTGGCCTAGAATGAGAATAGGGGAAGTCCCTAGAGAGGGAAGGAAGGGGTGAGGCAAGAGCAGGTGCAAACATCTGCGAGGTGGCCACCCAGTGCCTCAGCCTCGTCCTTCAGGATTTCCCTCTGACACTCCTGGGTCCCGTTCTAAGGCCACGGGATGCGTTAGCACGCAGCATCCCCTTCTCTGAGCGGCCAGCGGTACCGATTTCCTTCATGCGTATCCCGCACCGCAGGAAGTTATCCCACACGCCCAGCATGGAAACAAGCTCACAAGCATCAGGCATGCACAACTGATACTGGGGTTCACCCCAAAGCCACCTGCCCCCTCCAGGTCTCCACGCCACGTGGCCTATGCCCACGCTCTCTCATCTCAGAACCACATCAGAACCCAGACCGGCCATCCTCAGTCTCCTCTGGGGTCACCCCTGCCACACGAGGCCACCGTGCCAGCCAGCCAGAGGAGGGCATGAAGCCCAAGGGGACAGGCCCAGCAGTCAGAGGGTGGTGTGCCAGCTTCCAGCGGAGCCCACGGCTTTTACTATAGCACACTGCCCATCGCGGGGACACGACCCCTGCCACGGTCCAGCCATGGCAGGGTGACCCGGGGCCAACTGTTCCACTTCTCCCAGCCAGGTTCCTTACCTTCAAACTTGAGACCAAGAAAAACCTGTGTGCTGCACAGTCCACTCTCACAAGCTGTTTGCTCTGAAGAGCCAGGGAGACCCCAGGACCCCAGGGGAGACCCACATCCACAGTGGCCCAGCTCAGCTACTTTTATCCCATCAGCGGCACAAAATCCACGCTTCTGCCCGCTCAGAAGGAGGACCTTGATCAGATGCACAGGGCAGCCCAGCACCGCCTCATGCGTGGCCATTAAAAGCCGAGTAGAGATCTTTAGCCCGTATGTACCAGTGGAGAAACTGAGGTAGGAGGAAAAGAGGTGTCCAAGCGGGAGTCAACCTGGAGCTCTGTGTAAGCGAAGGAATCAGAGGCTGCCTGGAAAGCCCCATTTAACAAAACACAACACTTAGAGGACCAGGGAGAGAGGTCAGGGCTCAGGGCTGTGAGTTCAATTCCCACCCCAGCACCACTGGGTTCGAGGCCCCTGAGGGCTGCTGGGGAGGCCCCAGCAACACAAGTTGAACGGTCAGGGCCGTGTCCACTCTGTGCCTGTCTAGCTGTCCCTCTTGTCCTCCTGCATGGGGACCTGTTACCTCTGCAGACCCCATCCGTGGGAGGCGGGGATGGGTGAGTGCCCCAGTGCCTGGTCAAGAAGGAATGAAGGCTTCCTGCATCTGTGCTCCTACAACTTAACTCTAATTTCTCTGTTCCTGGAACTACACTCCTTCCACCCCAACCGCCTGCCTCGCTGAGGAGCCCGCCCCGGAACCCCATATCCGAAACCACATGCGCGGCAACAACTTCCAAGGCGGTCTGTGCCCCTGCACAGGGCCAGGGGACCAGGGCGGTCTGGAAACCTCAAGTCCCTTCCAGACGGCAGACTTCCTGCCGGCGTAGCTCCCTTCGCTTCCCAGAGGGCCCCGTGACTCATGCCCAGCGAGCTGGCAGGCGAGCACGGGTCCGTTCACCAGGGTGGCAGCAAAAGGTATACACCGTGACTAGGCAGAAAATCTGCGAGACCGGCGGTCCCTAACTGACAGACCACGAGGTGCGCGTTGGGGGTGTGCCCGGGCAGGGGCGGGGTGGGGGTGGGGTGCGGTCGAGGCGCCCAGGGCCCCTGCGTCAGGGCGCCCTAAAACTACACACCCGCCGGCTCCCCTATTGGCCGCTCTGGCCACGGGGACTTATGGGGTGGTCCTCGCCCAGCCAATCAGGGCCCCTGGGGAGCCCATTCATTCACCAAAAAAAACGCGCAGGAAACTGCGCGCGGGCTAGGCCCCGGGCAGCGTGGGGCTGGGGCCACGTTGGCGCTCGGGGGCCGCGGCAGGGCCCGCCACGACCCTGGCAGGAAGCTCCTCGGGTGCGGGGAGCGCGGCGTCTCCGCCCTGGTTCCGGGGGCCCCGGGCGTGGTGCGCCCGCGTCCTGCCCGGCGCCAGGCTCGGACCGAGCGCGGCGCGCAGGTGGCCCCGCGGCGGCCGCAGCCACGTGCGCCGGGCGCGCCCCTCCCCCGCCGCCCTCCCGCGGCCACTCACGGCAGTCGTCCTCGTCGCTGTTGTCCGAACAGTCGTCGTCTTCGTCGCATCTCCACACCGAGGGGATGCAGCGCTCGTTCCGGCACCGGAACTGGTTCTCCTCGCACTCCTTGGCCGGCTCTGCGCGGGCAGAGAGGGGGCGCGGGGTGAGAGGGGGGCACTGCGGCGGAGCGAGCGAGCGATCGCGGGGGTCTGGGGTCCCCGAGATCCAGGTCAGGGCTCCGGGGATGGCGCGGCGAGGGCACACACAATCGGTGTCACATCGCCTCTCCCGGACACCCGCACACGCGGCCCCGACAGCTCCGCGCGGGCACCGCTCCCGGGGGAGGGGATGGGGAGGGGGGGACGCGAGCACGGCGGGACACGCGCCCTGGGCGCCGAGGGCACATCCCCCCGCCCCCCAAAGCAGCCTCTAAGGCGAGGCGGCGCGCGGGGGTCCCCGGAAACGCATTGTCAGGCGGGCGCGCGAGCCCGGTGCTCCCCTCCGGCGGGATGCTCGCGGCGCCCCGCAGCCTGCCTCGGCACACCCCCCGCCAAGTTCCCCGCCGGCCAGGCCCGCACCGCGCCCCTCCCCCCGGGAGCAGGTGCCCGGGGCCGGGGGGCGGGGGGCGGCTTCGGGGACGCCAGCCGGGCCCGGGGCGCGCTTTGTTGGCGGCTCGGGGGGCGCAGAGCCGGGCCGCGGCGGGCCGCACGCACCTTGGCCGCCGCGCGGGGGGTCGGCCGCCGCCGCCGCGGGATGCTGGAGCCGCAGCAGCAGCAGCGGCAGCAGCAGCAGCAGCAGCAGCGGCGCCCGCGGCCCGAGCGCGCCCCGCTCGGGGCGGCCCATGACGGGCCCCGGGCTCCGGCCGCCGCGCCCCGCGCCCCCGGAGCCGCCGCCGCCGCGCCTCACTCCTCCGAGTCCCTGCCGCGGCGCCGGGGCTGCCGCTGCCCCCGCCGCCGCCGCCGCCGCCACCGCTGCCGCCCGCCCGGGCTCCTCGGCTGCATTTCAAGCAGGTTCCGTGACGCTCGGCGGCGGGGCGGGCTCAGGCTGGGCGCGCGGCCCCGACTCTGGGCGGCCGCCGCCGGCGCGCGCGCCCCGCGCTCCTCCCGCCGCCGCCGCCGCCGCCGCGCCCGCCTCCCCAGCCCCCCGCCCGCCCCGGTCCCCTCTCGGCGCCCAGGGCCCTCGTCATCCCGAGCCCGGCCCTCCCGCCCGCTGAGCTCAGCAAGGGGGGCCGAGGCTTCTGCCCCCCGCGGTGGCAGGCGGCCCGGGGACAGCCGCACAGGCTGCCTGGAGGTGGTGACAGACGGATGGGAGAAGCAGGGACTCCGAGGCTTCGGCTAGAACCAGAGGGTTAATGCTGCTTGAGGGCGCAGCTCTGTGCCTCGTGCACGTGTGTGAGTGTGCGTGTGTGTGTGTGTGTGTGTGTGTGTAGGTTGGGGGGGCTGCATAGCAGGATGTGTGGCACCCGGAGAGACGGGAGTGTACCCACCCCTTAGGGACTCAGGCCGGGATGCTGCTCCATGTGCCTCTGTGACTAGGACACGCTCTTGTGCCCCGCCCCAGGATAGGCAGTCGGTGGCCTGGCACCCAGGGGTCCTCCTCATCCCCCCTCTGTAGGCTGCTGCCCGAGCACAGTCAGGGTGCCCAAGGAAATCCTCTGTGCCTGGGAAGGGGTGGGGTGGGTCTCTGTGGCTCATCACAGAACGGATGTGCATCCTAGCTGATAAGCCCTCTCCCTCCCATTCCCACACCTCTGTCCTTATGCAGGGGTGACAAGGCTCTTCCGAAAGGAGCGTCTCTGCAGGAGCAGCCAGTGGTGAAACCCGCTGGACCCACTGAAGGGCACTCAAGCAGGTGGCCCGGCCGGATGAAGATCCCTGCCCCTTGCTATCTTGGCAGGAGGGTGGGGGAAGGTGGGAGCAGGGCTTCTGGAGCTGGGAACCCCAGCTGGGTGTCACTACCTCCTCAGCCCCCAGTGGGTATGACCAGCACCCCCCCACCCCCGCAGGGGCCTGAGACCCCAGGGAAGCCAGCCAGGGGTTCCTGCTGTCACCTTCTGTCTGGGGTTCATTCAGTCATCCAGCTCTCCCCTGCCAGCACTGTCTTGGTGCCCAGGTGAATCAGACTGGGCACCAGGCCAGGGACGGTCCTTCACTGGCCGAAGCCACGGACAGTCAATGAAAAGCGGGCACGCTTTGCACGAAAACTGGGCAGCACCTGTGTGTGGGCGTTCCTGAGGGGAGCAGCAGGGCCTGACTCGCTGGCCTGCAGTTGACATCTCACTGGGCAACCTAGGCATCAAAGCAAACCCAAAATGATCATTTCAGATCCTTTTAGCTGTGGCAGGAAATTCAAGACAGGGTGGGGTGGTGGGTGATGTGAGTGACAGCGATTAGAGTGGCAATCAGGAAAGGCCTCTCAGAGGAGGTGACGATTCACTGAAGGTAAGAGGTCCTTACTAGAGAGTGTCTGAGCCTGCAGCAAGTGTTCAAAGTGACCAAAGCGATGGTGTGGAGGTGCCTTTAAGGGCAGTCGGGTCAGAAGGGGGGACCAGCACCCCTAGAGCAGGGGCCCGGGAGAGGGCTTGGCTCCTTTGCTGTTTATGAACCAGATTCTGAATCTGGGCCGACTGAGTCTTCCGACACCTTGATCTTGCCCTTCCCAGCCTCCAGAGCTCTGGGCGCTAATTTCCCTGGCCCATAACCCGCCTGCGTGTGTTTCGTTAGGGAGCCCTAGGGATTGAGGAGCACAGCCCCGCAGAGAACCATGGGAAGGACAGAGCCGAGGCCTGGAGGCAGGCTGGGGCCTGGCTGTATGGAGAGTCTGGGGCCGGAGCAATAGGATGCGGCTAAGGTGCTCGCATATGGCTGACCTGGGTTGTATCCCTGACACCCCATATTAGGCCCCTGCCCTCCACCCAGAGTGATCCCCGGGTGTACAGTTAACCCGGAGCATGCTGGGTGTGGCCCCCAAACAAATCCAAGACAGGAGCAGACAAGGCAGAGGGCACAGCAGAGGGGTCAGGGGCACAGTGACAGTTTGGATTTTGATATCTGTGGTGAAGATGTTCTGCCCACAGTGACTGTAGAATGTGCAGCCCAGCCTGGAGCAGCTTCTCTTTATGCTGACCTCTCAGGAAAGCCCCCAGGCATAAGAAGCGGAGCTTCTCATCGCAAATTGAGGGCAAGGGGACTTTCCGGGGGCCGTTGTCATTCTGAGGCAATTGTTGGAACTGTAGCTGGGCAGCAGCTAGGGAGCAGAGACGAGTGCGGGAGACCCAGGCTAGTCTGCCAGCCAGCAGCCGAGTCCCTTCCCTCGAGCCCTAGCCTGCTGGACCCACTGGACTTCTGCAGCTCTGTCTCTTCATCTGTCCAGTGGGAATGCTGACCAAGACTCCCAGGCTGTGAGGGTTGGTTACATTAGAGATCAGGTACAGAGCACATCAACACAATAACCCTTTGTTATGTTGCTATTATTCAAAACTATACTGGTCAAGAGCCCCAAGGTTCTGGGGACAAAGGCTGAGCCCTGGCACGCCCTGGCCTCCCTCCAAAGGGGGTCTCTGCTCCCACTGTCTCGGGGGGCCCGCTGGCAATGTGGGCAGCTTCTGGGCTTTCCTCCTGGCCCCCGCCAGGTCCAGCCATCTGCCTCTCCAGTTACCCTCCCTGGGGGGCCTCCTGCCGCCACCCCCCCCACCCCCTTGCAGGGCCATCTCACCAGGATTTGTTTGGGTTCCTTGGGAGGATTACTTGGCACAGAAGAGCATTTAGATAAATGATGTTTAAAATACACAAAATGTTCAAAGGCAAACCGTCTCAGTCAGAAGAGCTAAAACGCACGGCGGCTGTGAGACACCCTCTCCGGGCCCTCCACGCTTTAACTCACTCAGTCTCAGCACCCCCGTGAGACAAGTCCTCTATCCATCCCACTTTACAGAAGAGCAAACTAAGGAATGGGGAGATCAGTTAGCTGGTCAGTAGCAGAACCAGCGTTCAAAGCCAGATGGTACTCAGGGTTCAGGGCACCGGCCCTGGTCCATCCCAGGGAGGGGCCACATGGAGAAGTCCAGCCCTTGGCATTCCCCAGATCTCAGCTGGACAGTGACCAAGCTACCTTGTCCAGCTGCCACTGCCCAGGGGACTTGTCCTCACCAGACCTCCCTCAGACCCTGACTCACAGGTGGGCCCAGCCCCTCCGGGTCTCGGAAGTGCATCCTCCAGCCCACCCCTGGGTGTGATGAATTCTCCCCAGGCTCCCAAGCCTCCATGTCCCTGACTCTGAGCCCCTGGAAACCCAGCCCCTCTTCATTTTACTCCTTTGTGCCCCACCCCACCCTGAGAAACAGGGCTCCAGCCTTTTCTGGGCCCTGTCTGTCCTCTGGGCCTCTTCTCAGGTGCCCCCACCTCCAAACCTCCCCATGCCTCTGTCTTTCTCAGCACTGAAGGGCAGAGAGGGTCATGCTCGCTCCGGGCACATCCGGTGAGGACTCATGACCACATGAGTCAGAAGGGGGGGGGGGTCGTCGGCTTCCTGCACGCCCCTCTCCTGGCTGCTCGGGCTGACTGTGTAAGACCCCCACCCAGTACCTAAGTATCAGGGGTCTGGGTTCAGGCAGAGACGGTGCGGAGTGACGAGAGCCCTGGGGTTGGGGGGAAGGGGGTCCTGCCAGCGGCAGGCTCACACGGTCTAAGGTCACATCACCCTCCACCAGAGGGAGAGATGGATTCTGAATAGCCGACTCCCTTGTAGGCTTTCAGTAGTGAGGCTGCAGAATGGGCCTCAGAACGGGCTGCTGCGGCCAAAAAGTCTGAGGACGCCTAGCCAGGTGTCACTGTGTCTGTCTCCCTCCATCTCTAGATTTCTGTCCGTCCTGTTTCTCTCTCCACCCTCATCTCTGTTTGTGTCTGTGTCTGTCTCTCAGTCACTGTCTCTCTGTCTCCCTGTCTCTCCCCGTCTGTCTGTCTGTCTGTCTGTCTGTCTGTCTCTCTCTCTCTCCTTCCTCTAAAGGGGAATTCTTATTCATCAAGTGGACTTTATAAAGATCTGAACTTGGAGAGTTCCCTGAAGCCTCTGGGCAGTCATTTCCTCCTTTGTAAAAGGACACTGACTCTGTCACCTGGCAATATTGATTAATGGGCAAGAGACTTAGCTCACTGGCCTAGGGCATGCTCTGCTCTGAGTTAGCCCCAGCACCAAGGAAGGAAGGAAGAACAAAATCATCCACCACTTAGCAACTGAGTTGTATTGTTTCTCATGGTATTCAGGGGTCGTGGATTTGGGAGCCTTTGGGGAGGGTCCCCATGTTGGCCAGACAACATCTTTAGAAGGTTCCGCTGAGCCTGGAGGAGCTGGGGAATCACCCAACTCAGGGCAAGTGGGCTGCTGGCAGCACCTACACTGTTCACCCCATAGACTTCACCAGGGGCCTGCTTATATGTCCTCACAGCATGGAAGTGAGAAAAGTGAGTATGTGTTTTACACATTTGTGTGTGTATGTGTGTGTGGGAGAGAGATAGAAAAAGAAAGAGTGTGTGTATGTGAGAATATGTGTGTGACCGTGCATGCATGCGTGTGTGTGTGTGTGTGTGTGTGTGAGAGAGAGAGAGAGAGAGAGAGAGAGAGAGAGAGAGATGGCTTCCTTTCAGGACCTAATGGGGTGCCCTGCCCTCTTCTCTGAAGAGCCCATTGACTCTCCAGGTGCTGTGTCCCGTGGGAGGGCCCAAGGCACCTCTCTGGGCCTCTCCGAGACTGGAAGCCACACAGAAGCCTCCGAGGTAGTGAGGAAGCTAATAAGAGGAAAGTGCTCCGGTGAGTTGAACCCTAGGAGAGAGCTTGCTATTGCAGTTTCTGGTACACAGCAAGTAAGCACTCCCTAG